GACCTTATATCAGAGCCATATATTTCAGTTCAATTTTAAGCCTGTAAACCTCAATTCTGAGCCAGACATTTCAGTTCAATAATAAATCTGTAAAACTTAGTTCAGAGCCAGACATTTCAGTTCAATTATAAACCTGTAAACCTTAATTCAGAGCCAGACATTTCAGTTCAATTATAAACCTGTAAACCTTAATTCAAAGCCAGACATTTCAGTTAAATTATAAACATGTAAACCTTATTTCAAAGCCAGACATTTCAGTTTAATAATAAACCTGTAAACTTTACTTCAGAGTCAGATATTTCAGCTCAATTTTAAGCCAGTAAACCTTAATTCTGAGCCAGACATTTCTGTTCAATAAAAAACCAATAAACCTTAATTCAAAGCCAGACATTTTAGTTCAATTATAAAACTGTAAACCTTACTTTAGAGCCAGTCATTTCAGTTAAATTATAAACCTGTAAACCTTATTTTAGAGCAGACATTTCAGTTTAATTATAAACCTGTAAACCTTATTTCAGAGCCAGATATTTCAGTTCAATTATAAACCTGTAAACCTCAGTTTATAGGCAGACATTTCAGTTCAATTATAAACCTGTAAACCTCAGTTTAGAGCCAGACATTTCAGTTCAATTATAAACCTGTAAACCTCAGTTTAGAGCCAGACAATTCAGTTCAATTATAAACATGAAAAACCTCAGTTTAGAGGCAGACATTTCAGTTCAATTATAAACCTGTAAACCTCAGTTTAGAGCCAGACATTTCAGTTTAATTATAAACCTGTAAACCTCAGTTTAGAGCCGAATGCTCCCTTGGGCCCCAAGGTTTCTATGACCATATGACCATGTTAAAAAGTTCTCTGGATAGATTTGATTTTTAAATTTCTGGGCGGGAATATTGGACGGTTTGTCTCACGTTGATAAATATTATACTTACCTTGTCAAACTCATTCAATCATAGGCAGCAGGGACAATAGATAGATAGATAGATTGATAGACAGATAGATAGATGGACAGATAGATAGATAGATAGATAGATAGATAGATAGATAGATAGATAGATAGATAGATAGATAAAATGATAGACAGATAGATAGATAGACAGATAGATAGATGGACAGATAGATAGATAGATAGATAGATAGATGGACAGATAGATAGATAGATAGATAGATAGATAGATAGATAGATAGATAGATGGATGGATAGATAGATAGATAGATATATAGATAGATAGATAGATAGATAGATAGATAGATAGATAGATAGATAGATAGATAGATAGATAGAAAAAAAAACTTCAATTTAAATACCTGATTATTATTTTTTTATTTTATATTTGTTTAGCTTTATGAGAAATAAATTCACCCTTTTTGAAGAGTATTAAATCTGATTGTGCATTGTGCAGTGTACATCAAATAAAACTACATGCACGGCATATAAAGATATATCATAGATAGAAAGATAAAGTTACATAAATAAAACAAACTGCAAAGATAAGTACAAACAATAATATATGTAGCACACAGCAGAAACAAAATACAACAGATGTATCACAACAACAAAACAAAATAGATGTATCACAACAACAAAACACAACAGATGTATCACAACAACAAAATACATCAGATATATCACAACAACAAAATACAACAGATGTATAACAACAATAACAAAATACAACAAATGTATCACAACAACAAAATACAATAGATGTATCACTACAATAAAATATAACAGATGTATTACAACAACAAAATACAACAGATTTGTCACTACAATAAAATACAGCAAATGTATCACAACGACAAAAAATACAACAGATGTATCACAATAACAAAATACAAATGATGTATAACAACAAAAAAGTACAAATGTATCACAGCAGCAAAGTACAACAAATGTATCACTATAATAAAATGCAACCAAAACATTGAATGAATCACAAGAACAGTTTTGTCTTGTTTAAAAAAGGAATTGCTACTTCAAAGGCTTGAAGTATATAAATAACTAAACACATTAGCATAAGAATACCAAAGATAAATGAGAGTGGGTAAAGATGTGCTTAATAGGGTGTCTTATATAAATATCTACTAAACAAGACTCTGTGTCAAAAAAATAGTTTATTTCTCTGCAAAAAAACAGAAAGTACGTATTTCGATAAAAAGTAGTAATCTTTGTTTGTTTGTATGTCTGAGCATACCTCATGAATTAATTTTGTGCACTCTATAGAGTTGTTTTTTCCTATCTAATAAATAATAAAGTTTGGTGCACCCTAGGACTTCATTTGTATATTTATAAGTAGTTTATTTCGGTGCACCCTAGTATAGACTTGAAAAGAATTCAGTATTAAAAAGCCAAAATTGAGTTGAATAACAAAGCATGGTTGCACACACAATTTATTTCGGTGCACCCTAGACTGTATTTGTATATATAATCAGTATATTTCGGTGCACCCTAGACTGTATTTGGATATCTAGTAATCAGTATATTCCCCTGCACCCTTCACTGTATTTGTATATATAATAATCAGTATATTTCGGTGCACCCTACACTGTATTTGGATATCTAATAATCAGTATATTTCGGTGCACCCTAAACTGTATTTGTATATCTAATAATCAGTATATTTCGGTGCAGCCTACACTGTATTTGTATATCTAATAATCAGTATATTTCGGTGGACCCTACACTGTATTTGTATATCTAATAATCAGTATATTCCCCTGCACCCTACACTGTATTTGTATATCTAATAATCAGTATATTCCCCTGCACCCTACACTGTATTTGTATTTATAATAATCAGTATATTTCGGTGCACCCTACACTGTATTTTTATTTATAATAATCAGTATATTTCGGTGCACCCTACACTGTATTTGTATATCTAATAATCAGTAAATTTCGGTGCACCCTACACTGTATTTGTATATATAACAATCAATTTATTTCGGTGCACCCTACACTGTATTTTTATATCTAATAATCAGTATATTTCGGTGCACCCTACACTGTATTTGTATAAATGACAATCAATTTATTTCGGTGCACCCTACACTGTATTTGTATATCTAGTAATCAGTATATTTCGGTGCACCCTACACTGTATTTTTATTTATAATAATCAGTATATTTCGGTGCACCCTACACAGTATTTGTATATCTAATAATCAGTATATTTCGGTGGACCCTACACTGTATTTGTATATCTAATAATCAGTATATTTCGGTGCACCCTACACTGTATTTGTATATCTAATAATCAGCAAATTTCGGTGCACCCTACACTGTATTTGTATATATAACAATCAATTCATTTCGGTGCACCCTACACTGTATTTGGATATCTAATAATCAGTATATTTCGGTGCACCCTACACTGTATTTGTATATATGACAATCAATTTATTTCGGTGCACCCTACACTGTATTTGTATATCTAATAATCAGTATATTTCGGTGCACCCTACACTGTATTTGTATATCTATTGAGGGACCCCACCCACAAATAAATAGGTAAGGCATAAACTTCATAGTTAACATAGCACTATATAGAGATGGTTTTGTATAAGGCTTGAAGGAGACGAATAAAGGATTGTGATTAAAAAGAATGTAAAAAACACATCTGGTGGAGGTACTTTGCATACCCTAATAAACAGCAAGCAATACGTGAATAATGGTAAAGGTACTGTAGACCTAATATTAATTGGAACCCTATCTTTAGACTTTAGGAAAACTCAAGTAACCACAATTTGAAATAAACAATTTGCAAAGAGATAGCCATAGCTACCTTGTTCATTCTAGATCAGACAACGCTTTTAAGCTTTAAACGATGTAAATCGGACCTGCTTATCTACAAATAGATATACTTGAATTCACAAATACAAGTACAGTCCCTTCCGACAATTTTCGTTGATCAGGGGATAAAACCATAACTGATGTATCTATGTATGATGTATGTCACAAACCTCCAACTGATGTATGTATGTATGATGTATGTCACAAACCTCCATACTTAGTTGCAATATTGAACCAGGCCAATTTTAATAAATTCTTTAAGTAAAAACTTATATAAAGGTCCCCAAGTCAAGACAGGTCTGTCCAGGTACAATACAAACAACAAAGAAAGTTTTCAAAAATTTGCAAATTAAAATTAGGAAAATCCGCGTAAAGTGTATACATACATATAATGATGTTTATTTATGAATAAAGTAGCTAGCAAAGTAGGAGTGGTGTATAAAGGGTGGGTGGAACCTATGGTTAAAGAGTGTATGTATATAAACCCCCTGGAGTGAATGTATCAACACTCAATGTATTATGTCAAGATAAAACAGAAACAATACATCAGTAGTACACGGTAGACACCTGGTAGTACAATACAGTACACAGACACCTGGTAGTTCAATATAGTACACAGACACCTGGTAGTACAATACAGTACACAGACACCTGGTAAACAATAAGGGGTACAGACACCTAGTACAATACAGTACACAGACACCTGGTAGTGCAATACAGTACACAGACACTTGCTAGTACAATACAGTACACAGACACTTGGTAGTACAATACAATACACCGACATCTGGTAGTACAGTACAGTGCACGGACACCTGGTAGTACAATATAATACACAGACACCTGGTAGTGCAATACAGTACACAGACACCCGGTAGTACGATATGTGTTACAGACACCTAGTAGTACAATACAGTACACAGACACCTGGTAGTTCAATATAGTACACAGACACCTGGTAGTACAATATAGTACACAGACACCTAGTAGTAAAATACAGTACACAGACACCTAGCAGTACAATACAGTACACAGACACCTGGTAGTACAATATAGTACACAGACACCTAGTAGTACAATACAGTACACAGACACCTGGTAGTACAATAAACCAATGCTGAGTACACAATATCTAGTGTTTTTTTACTCTGAAACTAAATAAAAGAAATATATATTATCAATCTACATTTAATTTTTCTTTATTTCAAAGAAACCCACTAACATTTCTGAGCAAATATAATTCATAGATATAATAGATAGGTAAATAGATATTAGATATATATTTTAATAACCTTAATGCCCTGAATCAGCAGAATTTCTAATAATAGAAAAAAACTGCTTTTTCAAATCAAAGTTTTTGTACTTTTTTTCAAACGTCTGATTACATTTGATTGAATAAGTAAATGATAAAACATGAAAGAACAGGTACAATCAACCTCTGCTGACCTCCAGTTGACCTCGCTGAAGAGGTCAAACTACTAAACTCTGCCAAAACCTCAGGTCTCTCTAGTATCCTCGCAGAAGTTGGAATTTTAAAAGGAACAGCAAGCTCAGCCTCCAGAACAGTTTCTTCTGACCGAGAAGTCGCTATTTCTACACTACGAACTTGATCCTTCAACTCTGGATTAGGATAGACTGGAAAAGGTCCAAAAGTAAGTTCTGAAGAAAACGGGCCGGAGGGAAGTATTCGTTGACCCACATTACCCATTGGTCTCTCCTGCTCCTGGAAAAACTGCATTGGGAAAGAAAATGGTATTTCCGGTGGAACCATCACTCTCGGTATAGCATCAAAAATCATAAACTCAGGTTGTCTTTGAAGATCTGGGTCTGACAAAGGGTGATTTTGAACCAAGGACGGATTAGGCGCTAATGATGATACTGGGCGTAGGAAGGATGAGGATTGAATTTGTCCATCAAAGGGGGCCGAAGGGAAGGTTCCGGGTACTGGGAGTGAAGGAAGAGGAGGAAGATTGGGCAATGAAGGATTGGATTGATGGGAGATGGGTTGGAAGTTTCCAAAAGATCCAAATGAAGACTGAGGTTGTTGGAATGGTTTTTGGATTGAGGCCCCTCTCCTAGCCATAGGGTTTACTGACGGAAGCTCAGGAAAGGTTTGATCATTTTGTTGGGATTCATGACTTCTATATATATAAACTCCAGGATAATTAACTAAACTTGTTTGTCCCTTTGAATCACCTACAGTATTGGTAAAGTGAGAATTATCCAAGGTTTTGCTGTTTCTGACATTGTGGTTTTCGGAGGGATTCAATGGTGGAGCGTAAGATGGCTTGGGTTTGGAGGATAATTGTTGCTGGCCTCCAACACTTCCATATCCTCCATTAGAACTGGACTGGTGTTGTCGAATCAAATCTGCGTAACATGGAACAAAGCTCCCGCATTTTTCCGTTAGCAGAGCTGGGTTGGGAAACGTCACATCCTGCGGATTTCTGAGAATATTTGTGTTTGCTGGGACGCGAATAAGATTTTGCCTGGGAATATTATATAAAGAGGATTGAGTCTGAAAGGGATCTTGGGAAAGACTCGATGAGAACAAAAACACACAAATCTGAAAACAAAAATTATATTTTATTAATATCATACAAAATTTTAAGTATTTTTTATTTTTTAAATATATTTGCTGTAGTTTTACAAATATAGACGTTGAAAGAATCTTAAATCAATTATAAATAGAACAGCTTAACTTCATTTTTTAATCTACTTTTTTATTTGATTGAGCATCTAGCCGAGAATATTAAGTTGACAACACTTAAAGGGACTGTACGCATAATCTCCAGTGATCTCCATTAAAAGAGTCAAAATGCACATTTATGATTCACAACAATACCCTTTAAACCTGTCTGAGCCGAATCTATGTAAGTTTTTCATTTCGGAATTTCTGTTAAAAATTAAATTGCGGACATATTCACATATTCAGTAGAGATTAAAATGATTAATTCAGACAAATGATTAAAATGGAAAAATTTACACCTTTTCAAAGGTTAAGGTTTAAAGGGTTTCGTTGTGAACTGAGCAGTCCCTTTGAATGTTATTTAAGTAAAAAAGACCCCTTTCTTATCATCCCTTTTCTTAAATATTATATACAGTAATAACAAGAAAAATTGGATTGAATTCTCGTCGTATTATTTTCTTTTTCTACAAAATTGTGATTTTTAAAATCTAAATATTTCTAAAAAAAAGCTTAAAATATTTTTACAAATATAGTGAGAACCTGAATAAATAGGAAGACGACATTAAATCGAAAATTAAATGTACTAGAAGTTGTTGTGAAGCAAATAGTTTTATTAGAGAAATATACGGCTGCTTACAAATAGCTGTGTCTCATGTTTATTGGACTATTTACAGTCATAACTTGAGTCTAGAAGTCGTCTTCCAATTTGACAGTTGTTTGACTCTCCCTGTATATATCAGTTGAAACAATTACAAATGGAAAAATCCTCTGAAACATATCCTACGTAAAAGAAAGTACAAAGACCACATTTATTTCACAACTTTCTGACATATTAACATTTAATGATATTTTCAAGAATTATACTTATTATATGCTATTTATTAAGGTACACCCGGCAAAGAACGGCTTTGAAAAATACGAAAGTTTGTTATCTTTCTCATACTGTATACAGATTATTTAGACCAAGGTATTTTTATAACTATTCAATTATAAGTTCCCTGGCCCCTCGGTTTCCCTTTCTTTTCCTCTAAATTTAATTAAGATTTAATTAAGTGCTGGCATCAAGGTATACCAAGAATGCTGCAATGTCACCTGCACTACATTCGCGCACTTTCGGAAAATTTCTTTTTTAGAACTCATGCAGAGATTAGATTCAACGCTTAGAAGTTTTATAAGATTTAAAAGTGGTTATAATTGAATTGGAAAGGTTTTATTAATGAATGAGTTATAATAATGGGTTTAAAGAACCGACTGAATCGAAATCAGGGCTTATGGCCGGTATAAGGTCTTTCAAAAAATGTGTTCTTCTTATTTCATTTACATTTGCATTTAAAAACTTTCAGTTTCTTTGTCAAGATTTCATTTTATCATAAAAAATTTAAAATTTTCAACACTTGTAACAATAATAATAACAATAATAATAATAATAATAATAATAATAATAATAATAATAATAATGATGATGATGATGATGATAATAATAATAATAATGAACCCCCCCCCCTGAACTCAAGGCTGGTTCCAAAATGGTTCTCATATCTTTTACTTTTTATCCTAAACGTTGATCATGAATTTCTAGAGCACAGACCAGCAAGACAATGACCGGAATCGTACGATTTTATAAATATAAGAAAACCATCGTTCATAACTTATTCGATTCTTTTGATTTGTAATTTGTAAAGGAGAAATTTAGAGAAAGAGTCACCTTAAAAATAACGTTAACACTCCCTTTAAACTATATTAATAAAAATATAACTCACCAATGCTGAAGTAAGCATTGCTGATGAAGTATCGAAAGCAACTGAGGATGATTAAATCTCATCAATTTCTTTATCCTTTCCATCCTATCTGATTATCCTACTATCAACCTTTAGCAGATTATTCAACCAAACTGACTTTGTTGTTGCATAATTCAGAGATCAAAATAATTAATTGAAAATAAATCCAGTTTTCTAAGCTTAACCCTTTCTCATCGAATCTAATACTTTTTAACCAGAATGCTTAAAGTTTTTTATTTTTAAACTTCTTTTACATACTCCCGAGGGGAATTTGAAAATTTTGATTTGCTGGTATTCAGAGATATTTAATTCTGCCGTTAATAAATATGTCATGCATGAAATGTCAACGAAAAACTACGTAGATCCGTTTTGAGACAGAATTTATTATATTTGGACTTAATTCTTAAAACATTGAACTGAAGTAACAATTACTTATTTATAAGTATTGAAGCGATTTTTAAGTATTAATAAAATGTTGCAAATAAAGAAGAATTTAAAACATTTTTAATAGTTTTTCATGTCTTTAGAGTCTCCTGTATACAAGCAGTAGCGTATTCAGGAGGGGGGGGGGCAGTATTTCTCTTTCCCTAGGGGATTCTTGGGAAAAGGCTAAAATCTGGTGGGGTATAGTAAGTAAACCAGATTATTTTAGAATCAAGTCCCTTACAGTTTTAAAATGTACATATCTATGGCTACAAAAAAGTACAAGTGAGTTTGTTAGATAAAATCGTAGGCCAAGGCGTTGCGACACTTTAAAGTCGGGTCTGTCTAAAAAAATGTCTTTATCTCAGTGCCCCCCCCCCCCTGGTTAAAATATGTGTCTCACTGTACCTGTACATCAAACATTGAGGCTGAATGATATTATAGTGAAGAAACTGAGGCACATTCTTCACATTTTTAATGATCAGCAAAGTTCGCTGGGCGATGGAATGATTTTTATTTTTTAAACCTGTTTCAAATTAAAGGAGAACGCAGTTAATTCAAAACCTTTAAAGCGGCAATAATAATCCTTTTAAGCAACAATACACACATACTTTATAATAATGACATGGCGAGAGAGAGGAGGAGGAGGAGATTGATAGAGAGGATATTGAGAGGAGGAGGAAGAGGAGGAGAAGGATATTGAGAGGAGGAGGAAGAGTAGGAGGAAGAGGAGGAGAAGGATATAGAGAGGAGGAGGAAAAGGAGGAGAAGGATATAGAGAGGAGGAGGAGGAGAAGCAGGAGGAGAAGGATATAGAGATGAGGAGAAGGAGAAGGAGGAGGAGAAGGAGGAGGAGAAGGAGGTGGAGAAGGATATAAAATATAAAGTTTAATGGGTTCTGTTGTGAATCGGGCATATTCCCTACAGGATAACCCACAAAGGATGAGACTGCAAAGACAACCTGAATCTCTTAAACTATGACGATCCCAAGTTTATTTAAAGTCGTCTTCCTAAAATATAGTATTTCAATTGCGTATTTAATGCATAGAAAAAAGAAGAAACAGTTTAAAGTTGTTGGAAATTATGAATTTAAAGAAACAAACAACGTGTAAATTCACAACAGTCGTCTCTGAAGTCTCTTTCTTTGTGGGTAACCTTGTATTTATATAAAGAATTTACTAGACACGAGAACAGTCCCTAAAAAAGTGATTTTTCCCTAGAAAAATCATTGAATTAAATCGAATAGTGCAGCTTGAACTAATGATTTGCAGTGATGCAACACTGATTAAAAAACTAATCTTAATCCTTTTTAGATAAGAAAGGAAAATAAAAAGAAAAATGAATTCAACAATAAAGAATCTATAAAAAAGGTACAAGGGAAGGGACGGAAAAAATTGCTGATAAATGTTAAATTTAAGATCAAAAGGGGACAAAAATAAGGAACCAGTAAATAGTGAAATGATTATTGTCTTTATTATGAACTCTAATTAAAAATGTCGCAATGAATCTGGTAATTTGAAAATGTTTTATTTAAAAAAAACCATGCTCTAAACATTTTCAGTAATGTATCAGTAATATGTTATGGCTTTTACAAATACCAAGACCCTTATCTTACATTTTATAATTTGACAATAACGAAGACGACGATCGCATTGTTCACACCTTTTTAACACTTATTTGTTACCACTATGTAGAGTTGACAAAAATGTTTTTACGCAGAAAATTAAAAGTTATGAGTCATTTACCATGAGTGCGACAAAAGTGGCTTAGGGCCAGGGGTCAAAAGGACCCCCCCCCCCCTCCGTCCTAGTTACGCCAACGGTACTGTTATGTATAGTATACGCCTCCTGTATAGTGTATATGTCCTAGTAAGAAACCAATGGCCTCAATTTCTTATAAAAGATTAATGGTTTCAGATTAGAGTAAGAACTAAACTAAGGGTCATGAACCTATTACAACAACGCTAGACTAAGTACAGCTGATTAAATCTAAATTAAACTTATATTGAAAAAACTCGTTTTGAACTGTTATCCATTTACTGTACTTTCAACTTTGGGTCGTTCATTTATGCTACTATATTGTGCAAAATAAGACGACCTTCACTTTATTAGTTTAGCTATTTTTCTAATATTATCATATTTAATTTTCTATTTTTCTAAATTTAATTTTTCTTTACAATTTCAGTAATTTTATTCCACTGCTAAATTGCTGTTTAAATTGCACCCCGCGACCGACACGTTTCCCGAAGATCTTGCACCCTCGTCGTATGTAAAGCAATCCGACTGGAACAGCAGAGATTCTATATATTCCAGCTCCTCAACTTCGATCCTTAATATCTCAAAAAGTATTTGACCTGCAGCTTAGAAATTTCAGGTCATAAATTCTCTGTACGTAAAAACATTAAAAATACAAAAAAAATTAAATTGATATTCTCAGTCACCTCAAAATTGTTCTGTCGATATAAAGTTTATATGATACAAATATTTAAACGAACAAACAGAAATAACATGATAAAAAAACAAGGAAAAAAACAAAAATGTGTATTCTTCTTTAATATTTATATAAGTTAATGTGTAAATTATAGATGAACAATTTACAAAATTTATTGAATGAATATTTTCTCATATAATCAATATTATCATGGCTAAATACAAAACGTATAGGTAAAAGAAATGATGCACGTACAAAAACTGATTACTTTCATCACACTCTAATTTTCAAATTCCTATCAATTCCCTGTACTCATATGGAGAACAAAATATGGGAATAGTACTTTACAATTCAGAGCTGGGAACTCTTGAATTTTTGATATTGAGATCAAACATTGATCTTCAGAGGCGCAACTAGCACTTCTGTGGGGGGGGGGCAAAATATTATTTTGTAATGGTTTGGGCGGGTTTAGGGGGGGCTTGCCCCCTCCCTGTAGAAATTTTTTCAAAATAAAAGTGCTTTTTTAAGGGTTTGATGTGTTCAATTCAAATCTTTTTTTTCTTGTGTTTTTTAAAAACTGTAAAATTAACGATATGAGTCTTTTGATGTGTGCGCGAAGCGCCATGAGAAAATATTTTAAGTACCTGGTTTAATTACTGATATAATTACAAGAAATAATCATTTATGTACTTAGGAAAAAAAACATCAAAATACATATTTAATTTTAATCATCTACATTGAAAAAAGACAGACAATGTTACGTTTTATCCTAAAGTTATTGAATTTATGATTGATCATTCTAACCAACATTCATAAATAATCATAGTCTTATTTCATTTTCAATTTTATAGAAGATCTTTCAAAGAAGATAAACTGCAGGTTACAGTTATCAAATATGATAATCAGTTGCCAGGTTCAGTCTCAGAATGTTCTCTAAATTTGGGCGCCCCCCCCCCTCTCAGTTGCGCCTCTGTTGATCTTGATCTTATTTTAATCTACAAATTACATTTATTCAAATCTTTATTTGATATATTTGTAAATAGTGTCGATCCGTGAAAAAAAATATTTTACTGTAAAATAATCACTTTATTCTAAAATTGTCATTATTATTAATAATTTTGTCGGAATAAAAACTATATTGACACTTGTGACGTCAGAATACAGCTGTACTGAGAGTATACAAATTCTACTTTGCCATCTATTATACTAGAATCAATTTGTTGGAAATAATAAAAAGTTTGGATGTATACACTTCAGAATATGTGTTTACTATTAAATGTACCAATAGAACATAAATTTGCATTACATAAAAACATAAATGTATGGTAAATTTTACTTGTGCTTATCAAGTATAGACCAAAAGTGGTGGGGGGGAAGGGGTATTAAATATGGGGTGGGGGTTGCGGTGCGGGGCCATAGTTTCATATCCTGAGTAATCAATAAAATGAAATATGGTTTCACACAATATTCCCGGGAAACCTGATATACTCACAACTAGAGATGGACACAATTTTTTTTTTTTAATTTAAAAGATTTAGCGGAGGAACTGTACTAAAAACTTTTATTGTTTAAACATAACGTCGTACACCTTTAAGTGTTAAACTACAGGGTTACTCACAGGGATACTTCAGCGACGATTGTATGGAATTTATACTGTCTGTTTCCTTACATTCAGGATTTCCTGCAACTGTAAACTTGTTTGTTTCTTTGCCAAATCATTAAAAAGCCATTTTAATATTATGTCTAAGGCAAAATGCATAATTTAATCTTTGAATTTAAGAGTTTCCTGTCGTCTTTACAGTCTCATCCTTTGCGGGTAACACTGTATGTTTTCGCTAGACCGTCAAAGTTTGAAATATCAATGGTTTATCATTATGATGCAAAAATATAGGGATCAGTGCCCAGTGCCCATCCTTACTGAGAGGGGGGGGCGGTGGGGAGCATAAACATTGAACAAACCACTCCACACACAACCTAAAATACTCATTCAAGGCCAACTAAATATTAGCAGGCAATAATCAATCAATTAGTTTAAGTAAATCATGCATGATTTTCCATCAACACCTACAGATAAGATTATTAACCAGAAAATTGATGAATGTCGTCTTTCTTTTACTACAGACGTGCATCAATAACGATTTTGTGGTTTATTTTTCAGGACACAGTTTTTAGAAATAGCAAATCACAAAATCATTCCTTAATATAAATAAAGAAGACGACAAGAATTCCACTGTTTTCTGGTTTCCTGTATAATGTATGAAAAAGGAAAAAATAGTTTAGGAATGTTTCCGTTTATGACAAAAGGTATTTTACTGTAGAAAAAAAAGAAACTCGTCAAACTCTAATTTTTTAATTATTTTATTTTTGCAACATGGCTTTGTAAACCTTAGATAATTCAGAATATGTATTCTATTAGATCAAATTGTCAAAGGTTTATGTCATCCGGTTGCAAAGATAAAGATATACAATGGTAGGCGAGTATAGCAATACAATAAAGACGACTTTTTTATTTAAATTTTGATTGTTAACAAGTTTTTTCGAATTACAAGTTTACAAGTAATCAAAAAGAAGCTTTTTAATGGACAGCTTCTCTTGACTTCTATGTCTATGTGAATCCATGCTGTTTAGCAGCTGGATAAAAAACCAAAATTGAAATCGAAAGTCCTCATAATTGTATTGATATATTTGCCTACCACTGTAACAAGCGTTTAATATAACTAAATTACAGTACTGTTTTTGCCACAAACTTAAATTTTCTAATACCTATATATTTGTAACCGGATGATCTTTAATAATTCAAACATATATTATTTGATCTAACAGAATTCCATAGTTAGAAATATTCAAGGTCCACACTATGAGGATTTATGGCAAAAATTCAGTTCCTTTTTTATTCAATCTAAACATGCATGGGAACCTGGGAAGCCTGGAGTTATTTCAAAAACTTTGTAAACCATCCAATATGATGTATTCCCCCAAGTAACAATTTTGCGGAAAATCCGCGGAAATTCCCAGGAATCTTTCACAGGAAAATCCGGTGAAAATGTCGACAGCTTTTCCCAGGAATTTCTCGTAACCCATTCCGAGGAACCAGGTCCAAGGAATTTCTTGTAACCCATTCCGAGGAAATTCTCGTAACTCTATCCAAGGAATTTCTTGTAACCAATTCTAGGGAATTTCTTGTTACCAATTCTTCAGAAAAACCAGAGAAAATTTGTTGCGAAAAGGTCTTCAGAACCAATTCCTGGGAATGTCCCTGGAACTATTCCCAAGAT